GCGGAGAGTAACCTCCTGCAGTTCAACAAAGGCAAGTGCAGGGTCCTGCACCTGGGGAGGAAGAACCCCATGCAGCAGTACAGGCTGGGGGTTGATGTGCTGGAAAGCAGCTCTGCCGAGAGGGACCTGGGAGTGCTGGTAGACAACAAGTTGACCATGAGCCAGCAGTGTGCCCTTGTGGCCAGGAGGGCCAATGGTATGCTGGAGTGCATGAGGCAGAGTGTTGCCAGCAGGTGGAGGGAGGTGATCCTGCCCCTCTCCTCAGCCCTGGTGAGGCCACATCTGGAGTGCTGTGTCCAGTTCTTGGGCTCCCCAGTTCAAGAGAGACATGGAGCTCCTGGAGAGAGTCCAGCGGAGGGCTCTGAAGATGATGAGGGGACTGGAGCATCTCTCCTATGAAGAAAGGCTGAGAGAGAGCTGGGCCTGTTCAGCCTGGAGAAGAGAAGACTGAGAGGGGGGATCTCATCAACGTGTATAAGTATCTGAAGGGGGGGTGTCAAGAGGATGAGGCCAGTCTCTTCTCTCTGATGGCAAGTGACAGGACAAGAGGCAACTGGCACAAACTGAAACACAGGAGGTTCCATCTGAACCTGAGGAAAAACTTCTTTCCTGGGAGGGTGACGGAGCCCTGGAAGAGGTTGCCTAGAGAGGTTGTGGAGTCTCCTTCCCTGGAGATATTCAAAACCTGCCTGGACGCGATCCTGTGCATTGTGCTCTAGAGGACCCTGCCTGAGCAGGGAGGTTGGACTAGATGATCTCCAGAGGTCCCTTCCAACCTAAACCATTCTGTGATTTTGTAATACTTTGAAAAGTATTTTGTTATTTTTCATAAAAGATCTGCTCAGAGTTGATGTTATGACTCATGTACATTGAAGTCATAAGTTGTCGAGTTCATATAACATTTTGAGGTAGTTTTGGAGCTAATATTGTTATGAGCTATACTGAGATGGCTCTACATCTGCGTCCTTTTTTCTATCATGCTGCTTCTGATGGTGAAGTCAGCTGGATATGCTGAGTGAGGCTTATAGTGCTGTCTTTTGTGGTTTTGTAGCTCTTGTATTTCTCGGTTACTTTGGTTATGGTTACTCTGTTTCTGGCAATTCTGAATCTTATGTTTGTTTACTGCATGTCTATTCTTAAAAATAAAATATAATAATAATTCAGCAAGGACAACTATTAAATCCTGCCCTTGGGTTGGCTGCAGCGGGACAGGCAGGAGACTAACTGGCTGGGATGTGTTCTCCTGAAAAGGAGCTGGGGGTCATGGTGGAGAGCAAACTAAAGATGAGTAAGTAGTGCACCCTAGCAGCTGTGAAGGCTAGGAGCAAACTGGACTACATTAACAGGAATGTAGCCAGTAGATCAAGGGGAGTGATTACTCCCCTGTACTTGACATTTGTTAGAGAATATTTAGAATTATGTGTCTGCTTTTGTGCTCCCTCAAACAAGAAAGATCGAATTTAACAAGTCCAGTGGAGAGCTGCCCCGATGGTCAGGGGGTGGAGCGCTTGCCCTGTGAGGAGAGGTTGAGGGAAATGAGCCTGTACAGCCAGGAGAAGAGAGGCTTTGGGGGGATCTAGCAGTGGCCCTCCAGTATCTCTGAGGAGGTTATTGAGAAGACACAGTACAGAGGTACGTCGCAGAGGATAAATTGAAACATAAATTGAAAGAGGAGAGGTTCCTACTTGACGGATAAAAGGTTTTCCACTTTGTGACAGTCGAGCTTTGGGGCAGGTTGTCCAGAGAGACTGTGGAATTTCTGTTCTCAGAGGTTTTCAAGACCCAAGGAGACAAAGCCGTGAGCACTCGAGTCAGAGTTCAGTGTTGACCCTGCTTTGAGCAGAAAGTTGGACCTCTCAATTATTCTATGATTCCATACATAAAAACTTTAACAAGTTCTGTTTCTTATATAGACAAGTTGATTTTTCTCTCATAATTACTACCTTTTCTATATCTGAAAAGGGGGGCATAGTTTAATGTGTGACTTCAAGATTTGCATTTCCTTATTTTCTAGAAACAACATTATCATGAGGTAGCAGAATCTGATGAAGTTAAAGGTAAAGGCTCCAAACTGAACAGAAAAGTTAGGCAAGTTGCATTAACAATTGAGAAGAAAGAAGGAAGAAAACAAATAAAAGGTATATTTCTTTAAGAATTCCAGAAGTTACATATTTATAAATAAACTGAAAGTAATCGCTTTTATGGTCGGCAGGTCTACTTGGGATGGTAAGACAAATCTTGCTTTCTTCACTTTCATTATAAATACTTTTTGTCTTTTTTTTATTTTTCTTCCAAGATTACTCTGGACACCTTTTTCCATTAGTCACTCCATCATAAGTATTTCTCTTGTTTGGAATAATATTCATGTCACTTGAGTCTACAGAAATAGGTCTTTGGAGTGTACAAATACAAAATATCTATATAAGTGCTTAATAAACTTCCAACTGGGGTGAGTGTGCATGTAGAAAATTCTTATTTTATTGTTACTAGGAAAATACCTTTATGACTTTTTCTTAATTATTTTCTGCTTTGTTAGCACCCTGTGGCAAGTTACAGAGGAACCAGATAGAAATCCTGCAATTACAAAGGGAGGATGGGAATTTACAGTGATATGCATTTATATAGGAGCACCGTGAGCTTAAATTCTTGTGGAACTGTACTCTTAAAGGCATGTTCTTGTGGAGGTATCTTCATATTACTTTCTGTTTTTGATTTCACTGCAACAGTGTTTAGAAATGTTTACCACTGGTATCTGGCCAGGGTATGGGCACAAATTCTCCTTGAGGCTTACCTTGCCGATCAGGTTATGACAACTTGACTCAGGTGGTTAGTGTCCTTTATGCTATACACTACATTTGTATTCTGTATCAATGTAAATGTCTGTTAACTGCCTGCTTGTTAAGCAGCGTTTCTTGGTGGCAATGTCTCTTGTCAATGCACTTAATTTGTGTAGGCTATGTCTTGGTTTCAAAGTGGTGTTCACAATATTACTAGGTTTTAAATTTATTAGGACTTGCCTGTCTGAAAAAGACCCATGTTTCTTCTTTTGCTATAGTATCACAGTTGGGCTAAAGGATGAGAGCCTATATTGATACCATTCTTTTTTGATTAAAAAGGTATGGGCATATAGGAAGATGAAGGTTTTCTTCCAGAGTGAATGCTTTACTTCTTAGGGCTTAAAATAGTGTGATTCTTTTTTGTTAATCTGGGCATACTGCAACTTTTAAAGATTGTTAAAGATGAGACTTGCATAGCAGAGCACATCCTGAATTTTAAACCCCACTGAACAGAGAATGGGGAAAGGAGGATAGAAGGGCAAAGTTTTTCTACCTTAGCCTCTAGTTTTGACACCTCTTAAAAGAATTGATAAGCATCATTTGTGTACAAGACCAAAATTTTGCTAAATTATGTAGGGCTTGGTTTTCAGCAAAGTTACAAGTGCTTACATCTGAGATTTGTTTGCATACAGGCTATTCTTGTTTGAAGGCGCAGCTACAACATGACTTGTGACTAATATTTTTTCAGCTTGTATAAGGAAATCAAAATATATATAGATATTTGTTCAGTAATGTGTCTAAATAAATACATTTTAAAAATTTATGGGAAAGAAAGCCATATTTCTGCTCTGTCCTACTCCCATGTAAATCTTACCGTATTTCTTTTAGGGTATAGAAAGTAGCTTTCCAGTAAGAAGAAGAAGGAAAAAAAAAAGAGGGAGAGATTTCAGTTGCTCAGCTTCAATCCATCTGTGTATCTTTCATTTTCTGTTCCAAAAAAACCCCCCCAAAACCGAAACCCAACAACTGACTATTGATTTGACTATTTTTTTGATCTAGCTATCTAATTCAAATTTCCTATAGACTCAGCACTGAATATTTTACTTGAGATTTTTATTCTTGACTATAGAAGTAATTAATTCCATCTTTATTTTCTTTTGTTTTTTTCAGGGACAGTTTCATAGCTTCCACAGCAAATCCATCCTTGATTTAAGGAATCTTTAAATAGCGGTAACATAACCTGTTACCAGTTGAAAGTGTCTACTTAATTTTCTTAACTGTAGCAAAAATATTTCATTGCAATAGATAGGTGTTCAGGTAAATGGCTTTTTGAATATCCATTCAGGGTGGTACACTTATCTGCTTGACACCACTGGTTATATATCTTTTTTTTTAAAAAAAAAAAAGTATTTAACTCTAATGAAATTACCTATGTAATTATTTTATCCACAGAATAGTTAACATAAGTGGACTTTATTTTTAGGTTGTTACAGATGCTCCAATTATGAGGAGGAGACGGCAAGAATGTAAGTATGTGCTCAGTGGGAGGTAAGTTTTATATTCCTAACTTGCGTAAACCCCCTTTGACCTAGAGCAGCTTGATTTAAGGGCAAATTAAAAGATTTGGTCAGTACTTATAGCATTTGCTTAAGTTTTGAGCTTCATTTTTAAATTTATTTTGTAATTTATAAATTTTCCTGTTAAAAATTTGATAGATGAACAAGTTTTTCTGTGAGCAACAGAACCTGTGAGTTTTATTTTGTTTTATTTTAGTGGGTTTATATTCCCTCTTCCTCTTTCTCTCCCAGCCCCCCTCTCATCCACAGTACTTCTAAGCCCTCTTCACTTCCCAGGATCCCTTACCTACAATTTATCTGATTATTGGTTGTAGTCCCTGCAGTGCCAGCTACTCATCTGCATTCTGGTGAACTGCGCAAAAGGAGCAGATATGTTGTTGAAGCTCTGTGTGTACATTTAATTTGCAGTCTATAAAGACAGGTGGAATACCTGAAGTGCAGCCACAGCTCTTATCTGTGAAAGAAGACTTGTTCCTGTTTTACCAACTGTTGGTTCTCATAAAGCTGTAGGAATGTAGTGGCTGTGAAACTTCTCCACTCTGTTAAATCTTTCATACCTTTTGTATGTCATCCAGATGGACAGACAGTACAACTATATGCCCATTCAGGGAATGGCTAAACATTGCAACGGGACTGTCATTCTCACAGTTGCATGAAAGTAAAGATCTGAATTAAAACTAACATGCTTAGTTTTACTGCAGTTTATATGTAAACCGTATTTTAAAATAGCTCAGTGGAAATAATGAGAAGATTATTTTTATAATTATCTAGATTAGTAGTGTCATGCTTTGAATAGGAAAGATTACCATTTTGAATCTAGAAGATGTTCTGAAACAAGTTGAATTTATTCAAATTAGCTTTATTCACTGTGAACTTTTGGTTAATTTAATTTTGCTTAATCTAATTTTGTACAATGCTATGTAGCATTCTGCTAACTTTTAAATATTTACGCCTTTTCAGAAAGAAATTCATATATATATATTTGATCAATACCAGGGTATAAAGTATTTAAAACTTCTCTTATTGATCTGTAGTTCCCATTAAATTTGTAGTTACATAATGTTTTTGAAGTTATCCTTAATTTTGGAACTAATAGTGCAGAGAAACAGAGCTAGTTAAATTTTTTCAAGTGGAGTTTTAGAACCCCTATACATTTTTTTAGCCTTCTCTATGAAGAAATGTCAGTTTCGCTAGATATTGAGCGTGTTCACTGAATCCTAATGCAGATGGCAGCCCTTCAAAAGCTGAAGTTCAGCAAGTGGATACATTAGTTAGCAGTGAAGAAAAACAGATGGTAAAAATAAGGATGAGCAAATGCCAGACTCTAATCAAGATAAGAGGAAAAGGACAGTTTTTTTAAAACTTCTACTGTTACATTAATTAATATTTACTCTACATGTGTGTTTATAACTTTAATAGCCATGTTCAGCGCATTTGCAGAGTGTGAGGATAGCTTTCAGTCTAGACGGGCTGGGGAAGAATGTTCCTAATTTTTGCAAAGAAAACTGTCCAGATTTATTTAAAGTTACAATGTTGCTATAGCCAGATACTTTAGAACATAAACAAGGCAAGATTCAAAGTAGGAGTTTGTACTGTAAGTATCACTGGGTGGAGGGGCACAAAGAATGTTTAGGCATGTAAGCCACTCTTCCGTGGCAGGAAAAAATAGAGGTAGTTGCATGCCAGACTTTTTGTTCAGGGCACACAAAGAAATTCAAAAGAAATAATGATTAAAGGACTAGATAGACAAATCAATCCAAAATCTGTTTGTTTGAACCACATCTAAAATACATTACTAATGCATATTTTCTTAAAAACAAATACAGAACTAAATGTAAAAATGAGTGAAAACCATTTAAATGAAGAAACATCGAAAGTTACCACTTGGCTGCAGGCTTAAAGTCGAAGGAGAAATGATGGTTCAGTCTAAATACATTATAATTATTTTCATTCAGAATATTTCTGATCAGAAAAAATATTGTGCTTCATGACTGAATGAAATTTGTGATATTTAGATTCAATTTTTATTATATTTCTTAAAGATACCATACTTTCATCATCAGGATGTATTTCTGGTGTGTTTAAAAAAAATTCTAAGAAAAGAACACTTTTGAAATAAAGTACTGGAAAACTATTAGCAAATGTACCTTTTCTATTGTTTCAGATGAAAAGAATGTTCAAAAGGAGAAGCAGAAAAGTCAAAGTGAGCAGGTGAAGCCAGATGAGAAAGTTGAAGCTTATAAGGCTATTAAGTAGCAAAGGCAACAAGACTGAAGAAAGCAGCACAGGCAACAACACTGAGTAGATTTGAAGTTTTTTTTAGCTTTCCTAAGAAAAATGTTGCAGATAATTACTATCTATCTATATTAGATTTGCATAGAGAGTGCTGTGAGAAAGAAATGTGTCCTGCAATAGTAAAATACTTGTCTTCTGAAATTGTGCTTGACTATAAGCTTGCCTCATCAACAGAAAGCCTGCTGTAAAGTGACCTCAGATTTTGCCCGAGAATACAACTAGTTGCTATGTTTAAATGTGTTAAACCAGCCTGTGTGTGAGGGTGATGTCTACAATATCAGTCATCTGTGCAACACCAGGGACCACAGCAAATCGTTCGATAAGGACTAAACATGCATCAGCCCAAACATAAGATTGTTGCAACAGTTAGTTATTTGATATTCTAATGACATTCTCTTGGAATGTTTCTTAACTTCGACTCAGTTGCATCTGTCAGATAATGAAGAGCTAATTACTTTTGCCTGTTTACTGTTACCAAGTAAAAGAAACAATTTTCTTTTTCCTGAAGTAGGACTTCTACCTCTCTATGGAGCAACGATTAAGCAGATGGATTAGCTGAAACCAGATTCAAGTCCAGGCCTATGAATCTTAATGTTCACTTCATTTGTCTGGCTTTCAAATAACGGTAACAGGTTTTAATCTGAAGAATGAACTGGTTTATGAAAGAATTGAACATAGAGAATTAATCAAAGCTTAAACATCTTCATCCAGGTTATGGAATGCTACTGCCTAATTCTGCTTGAAACCGATCCTCACTGTTTAGTCCTATATTGTAAGTCTTAAGAACAGCATCCTTTAAAAAGTCACTACAGGTTGTTTTTTCTTAAGCCAGTTGTTTAGATCCTGGGTAGCTATAAGCTATAAGTGATTTTTGAGGTTATAGTTGCTGAAATTGGATTTCAGCTTTTTCCTTTACTGTTTATTTTTGTGAGACTTCTGAGAGAAGTAAATTCGATGTGTGGTTTCTTAAAAGGAATAAAGATCAGATTCTCCTCTGACAGCAAGCAGTCAAGTAATGCTTCCACTTAAAGATTCTGCAACATCTGTCTGAGAACTTCTAATTATTGTTAATTTCTTTATAGTGAAATTCTGCAGACAGAGTTATCTATAGGTGTAGGTTATTTTATTTGGAGTTTATTAACTACATCATCTGCCTTTTCTGCACCTTTGATTCCTATAGATTTCAGGAAATAAATAACTTAGGCTTGGCTATCATATGGTTTTGATTGCTTATAAGAAACCACTTTCTGGGTTGATGCAGCATGTCCCTTCATAATTTTTTATGATGGTTCCTGGGTTTACGAAAGGGTGGAATGTATTATTATAGCTGTAGTTGCAGAACAGCAAAAATATGGATTAGTAACTTTTAGCCATATGCATCTCTATGACTATATTATAAAACCACTTTTTTTTTTATAACTGAATTTTTGTAAAGGCAAATTTGTGAAGTGCTTATAAAAATCATACTATAATTAAGGGGACTTGTCTTTCTAAAATGTATATAGAAAGCATAGAGCTTTTACTCCCTGTGCCAAACTTTTCTTAATTCTGGGGTTTAGAATGTGAGCACTTGCTAATTGCGCTAAAAAATTCAAATCAATTTTATGAGGATGTCCAGGACCCCTGGGATTTCTGCAAGGAAATATGTGACCTTTCAGAGAATAGTTCAGCACTGTAGTGTATCCGTAACACAAACTGATTGTCTGTTATTGACTGGCCATGTATTTTTGATAAATCAAGCAAATGGTTACTCTGTGTATGTATAATATATATATATTTTTTTAATCTTAAGGTGTGAGACCAATATACAATTGCAGGAAGGAAACGAGGAAGTGGAGGTGAATATTTACTCTGTTAATGGGTTGTTCCAGTTTACAAATAGTTGAAAAAATTAATATATGATTAGCAATGATACTTGATGTTTGCTTATTCAAGTGATTAACAGTATTTATTGGCAATAAATGAGCTACAAGTTATTAAGCAGATCTCCTAGTAACAAAACATTCCCCCCTCCTTTTTTTTTGGTCATGTATTCTAATCCTGGTGGTTTTTCTTCAAAATTTTTACATAACTCTTCTGTAAAGACCAGTAAAATCTTATATACAAAAAAAAAGAGTTGATATTTCAGTACAAGTACACACAATCTATTTAGAGCAAGGAAACTAGAATAACCATAATAATAATTACTTTTCAACTTCTGTTATGTAAATAGTGCACATAATAGATCTCTGGATTTTTTTTTATGTTAAACAGCAAGAAGTTACAGGAAATCCTGAAGAATTTACTAGCCAAGAAGAACTATTGGGATATTTGGTAAGTGTTACCTAGCAATGCAATTTTTGAAAAGCTTTCACAGAATTACTAAATTTAAAATGTAGCAGGTAACATAAAAGCCAAAATGTAGACAGTCTGCTAATCTAACAACACATATTATCTGAGGGTAGCATTCAAAATAAAATTAATATCAGTGGGATGTTGCTGATTTTTGTTTTTTTGTTTTTGCTTTTTTTATTGTGATATAAACTTCATTCCCTTTTCAAAGGCTGTGTGCTGTACAATTCAGACAGGAATCCTTCTCAGCCCAGGCCTCAAAGCTTGTCCTAGCTCCCTCTGCCCTCTTGCCCTGGCCCTAACCCTAACCCGCCTTGCCTTATTGCCCTCTAGCGCTGGCCTAAACCCTAACTCCCCTTACCCCGTTGCCCTCTGGCCCTGGCCTAAACCCTAACCCCCAATGCCCCCTCACCCTCTGGCTGTGGCCTAACCCTATACCCCCTTGCCTTCTTGCCCTGGCCTAACTGTAACCCCCCTTGCCCTGGCCTAACCCTAACCTCCCTTGCCTAACCCCAACCATCCTGCCCTGCCTTGGCTCCTTGCCCCCTTGCCTAACTCTACCTTCCCTTACTCTCTAACCTTACTCCTATGCCTAACCCTAACCTTCCCTTGCCCCCTTGGCCTGGCCTAACCCTAAACGCAACGCCCCTTGCCCCCAACACCCCTTGTCTGCCAGCCCCTGGCCTTGCCCCCTTGCCCACTTGACCTTGCCTAACCCTAAACTTAACCCCCCTGCCTCCCCTTGCCTCCCTGCCCCCTTGCGCTAACATTAACCCTACCTGCCTTGTCACCCCACCGAACTCACTGAACCCTAACCTTGACCCTCCATGCCCCCTTTCCCCTGCCTAACCTCAACCCCTCTAGCCCCCCAACCCTAGCCCCTAATCCTAAACCCTTGCCCCTGCCTAACCCTTGCCCACACCTAACCCTAACCTCCTCCAGCCCCCCCAACCCTAGCCCCTAATCCTAAACCCTTGCCCCTGCCTAACCCTTGCCCACACCTAACCCTAACCTCCTCCAGCCCCCCCAACCCTAGCCCCCTGACCTTAACCCCTTGTCCCACTTGCCCTTGTCTAACCCTTGCCCCCACCTTACCCTAACTCCCTTGCCCCTTTGCCCAGCTTAACCCTAACCTTAACCCTAGTGCCCCTTACCTAACTTCTCTTGCCCTTGCCTAACTCTAAGCCCAACCCCTCTTGCCCTTGCCTAACTCTAAATCTAAGCCCCCTTGCCCTCTTGCCGTAACCCTGACCCCTTTAACCCCACCTAACCCTATCCTCTTGCCCCAGCTTAATCCTAACCTTAACCCTAACCCCCCTTGTGCTTGCATAACCCCATTTGACCCCTTGCCTAAAGCAACCCTCCTTGCCCTCAGCCCCCCTACCCTGGTCTAACACTATATCTAATCCCCCTTGCCCAAACCTAACCCTAACCCTGACCTGCCCTATGCCTTGTTGCTGACAACTAACTCTACGTGCAGTGCCCTCATTGACCCCTCTAACCCTAACCCCTCGTACCCTCTGCCCCTACAGCCCTGACCCTGACCCGAAAAGCCTTGGCCTTCGCCTTGGCCTGATCCGACCATGACGCTGACCAGCTTTGCCCTGGCCAGATCTGACCCTGGCCCTAAAACTAAATGACTTTATCTTTGCCTGATCTAACCCTAACCTGATGTAACCCTAACCCTAACCCTAACCACCTTTGCTTCAGCATGATCTAACGATAACCGACTTGCCTCTGCCTCTGCCTGTTAACCCTAAACTATAAGCCTAAGCCTAAGCCTAAGCCTAACTCTAACACTAACCACCTTTGCCTGTGCCTTTGCCTTTGCCTGATCGAAACCTAGCCCTAGCCCTAACCCTAGCCCTAGCCCTAACCATAACCCCAACCAGAAGCATAACCGCCTTTGCCTTTCTGGCTTTGCCTTTGCCTTTGCCTGATCTAAGCCGAACCTGAACCGCCTCTGCCTCTGCCTCTGCTTGATGAAACCCTAAGACTAACTCTAACCGCCCTTGCCTTTGCCTTTGCCTGATGAAACCCTAACCCAAACCATAACCCTAACTGCCTTTGCCTTTGCCTTTGCCTTTGCCTTTGCCTTTGCCTTTGCCTTTGCCTTTGCCTTTGCCTTTGCCTTTGCCTTTGCCTTTGCCTTTGCCTTTGCCTTTGCCTTTGCCTTTGCCTTTGCCTTTGCCTTTGCCTTTGCCTTTGCCTTTGCCTTTGCCTTTGCCTTTGCCTTTGCCTTTGCCTTTGCCTTTGCCTTTGCCTTTGCCTTTGCCTTTGCCTTTGCCTTTGCCTTTGCCTTTGCCTTTGCCTTTGCAATCGCCTTTGCCTTTGCCTTTGCCTTTGCCTTTGCCTTTGCCTTTGCCTTTGCCTTTGCCTTTGCCTTTGCCTTTGCCTTTGCCTTTGCCTAATGAAACCCGAATCCTGACCCTGACCCTAACCCTAACTCTGACCCTAACC